TGAAAGAGTTCTATATATCTCAGATTTATAAAGTGCTGCGGTCATTTTTAAATGGTGTAAGGTTAAAAATCAAACTGTAGTTAAGTACTACATTAAGAACAAAAATACCTATACAGCGTTTAGTCAGCATAAAAGTTATTAGTTGTTATATGGATGCTTTCAAATCCTCGTTTTTGTAATTTGTATCACAATTCTTGTTGCTAAAAGTATGAAACGACGTAGGTAGGTAGGTACATGTGCGCTCGTAGATAGATGGGAATACAGTCATTTACTTTGCCTTGTTTAGTCTTATCAAATAAATTTAGCCGGTATCAAGCGAGTATTGCTGCTTTTGCTCAAGTGAAATTGAAATCTAGCACTTAATGTTTTAAATGTCAGAGCATAGTTCACTAGGTTATGCTAGTCGCCTCTTATTCAAAAAAAAAATCAGTTAGTTGATCTAACTTACTTCCCCATCACTCTGTGTGATAGTCTTATTTGTCTTATTTTTGTGAACTAAAAAAAAACTGTGAAATCTGTTAGGTGTTCAACTTCTAAGGAGATTTTAGTTTCTGTGCGACATTTCAATTTAAGTGGCAATGATTGTCTAAACCGTGTGAACTGAAATTAAAGCTGTTGAAATTATACACTCTATTCTAGTTTTCATATTTGTAATTGTCAAATCATTTATATATGTCTAGGTGTAATCGTAATCTCATTATATTAATGTTTTTGACTCTTGTTAAGAGTATAAATTTTATGGTGATTACTGACAAATGCTAATAAATAGAATATTCCTAGTTTCAGGGCTTCGGGATTATTATCCTGTAATCAATCAATACTAATTTAAATCACCAATTATGTTGGCCTAAAGTAATCATATTATATATAGTCGAACGCGTCGACAACTTCACTTATCTTGGAAGTCTGATCAGCCCTAATGGGTTGGTGTCTGACGAAATCTCAGCTCGGATTCAAAAAGCTCTTTTGGCTTTTGCCAACTTACGTCACCTATGGCGAAGACGAGATATCCGTCTATCAATTAAGAGACAAGTATACCACACAACAGTTCTCTCTGTTCTACTTTACGGTTGTGAAACATGGCTATTACGAGTAGAAGATACTCGTAAGTTACTTGTCTTTGACCACAGATGCCTTAGAAATATTGCTCGCGTCTGCTGGGATCACCGGGTAAGTAATAGTGAGGTTATACACAGGGTATTAGGGAATGATGGTAAATCAGTTGATGAGGTGATGAATCTTCATCGACTGAGATGGTTGGGCCACGTGTTCCGTATGTCTGAACACCGATTATCACGACGCGCGATGCTGACTAGTATTGGCAATGGTTGGAAGAGAGTTAGGGGCAGCCAAATCAAAACGTGGCATCAAAGCATGAAGTCAATAACTTCCAGTCTTATCCATGTTGGCAGATGCAGACTTCTTGGTTGGGGTCTGCGTGACTATCATAACCAATGGTTGGAGACTGTGTGACATGGATCAATGGCGCAGGTGTATACAATCTTTACCTTCCCTTAAACATTGAGATTAGAATTGCTTCATGGCTGTCTCCCATCGTATACTATATCCTTATATACAACCTTTCTTTTATATATTACCACCACTAAATTAACTACTTCTATGAATCCGGTGTTCATCTTGTTGTACTAACGAGGTATGGCAACTTGGATCAATGCATATATGTGCCTGGTCCTACGTTGTAGCTGACTGACTGATTCTTCAATCGATAGACTGAATCTATTAAGGCCATGTCTCTGGTTATCTCGCAGCCCACCTGTCCTCTTTTATGAAGCGAAAATGCACAGTACCTAGTAGTTTTTTCTCACTACTCTCTCTTTCTTTATATATATATTTATATATAAGTTTAGTTGTATTAAAGAATGAACGTGAGTAAATTATATCTATACTTTGGAGCATAAATTCAACAAAGATAAGCGTTATTACTGTTTGTGTTTGGGTGCAGAAATCATTAAGTGTAATAATGATAATGATAATATACATTATTGCATTTAGAAAAGAATTTCTTTCTTATTTGTTATGTGGGAATAATCTCAAAATAAATATAGTTTATTAATTTTTGGATAAATAAAATTAAATCAGTAAATAATAGTAGTATATTTTAATGATAGAGTAATCATAGTATTGATAGATAACAATATAAATAATAGAATTCTTTCTTATTTCTCACTTATAAATTGATCAATTCATGTTATAAAAAACAAGGTAGTTGGATACACTACGTGGGAATATTTTTTTCATTTGATGATGCATAGAATTCTAATTAGTACAATTGATTAGCTAGCCAGTATTATTATTATTATTATCAAAATGTAATATAGATCGTTTAACTCATTATTTATAACGTATGACTATCCTTTTATGCATAATTTTTTAAGAACTGTTTTTAATCATTGTAGCTAGTTTATTCAATAACTAGTTGGTTTTTGAAACGTGATTGAATTAAAGTGATCTCTTAGTCGGTATATATATATATATATATATATATATATATATATATATGGCGTGGGACAAATTTACGTCAGTCAGTATATCAGTTACCTACATCACATGAACACAAGATGAATATCAATATATGGTTGTGGAGATTGTTGAGCTTTTTAACACCATTTGACGGAGGCTCAGTGGTTCATAGTTTGTGTGTGCGTGTGAAACCGGAAGTCCGGGGTTCGAGTCCCGCATGCGGGATCATAAATGTTTACTCTTGAGAAATCTCATACTAGGACAAAATAAACATCCATTGCTTCAAGATTTCCAATGTCTAACATTGATCGGTTCGTGATTTCAATAAAAACAGCTAGATAAAATTAACGGAACGAATAACAAAATGAGTCAAAACGATTATTAATGTCAATAATAATAAAAATGACCAAATATCGAAGAATATAGTTCGAAAAGAAGGATTGAAATTTAGATAGAAATGATGTGAAATGTTTTATATTCATTATCTAGGCTAAAATAAAAAGTGAATAATTCTGGTTTACTGTGACTGATTCTATACTATGTTACGTTACCTAAATTGCCCAACTATTGTTCGCAGTTATCGCTTAGGCTCCAACTAGATAGTTTGTACGCACTAATACAGTTGTATTCGATAGTCAATGGTTTGTAAATAATTTGATCATGAAAATTAACAAGACAATCTACTGACCAAAGATCTTTTACTACTCTGATTAGTCTGTCGTAATTATTTACTTATTCAACTCTGTTTAGATAGGAGGAAAAAGTATGTCTGGATGGTCAATATGATAAAAAATTCGTTCAAACAGTTGATCGTTTCACAATTTTTATGACAGTATGATACAAGGTTGAGCGAAGCGAGATCGGCTACTGATTTAGGATTTTTATTTTGTAGACCACAGTCAGTAGAGCCCTGAATAAATAACACAAAAGTGGATAGTATCAATCACACTATACTGAATCAGGTTCTATTTCGACTTTATTTATTTCTATGTTCAAAAATCAGTTTATCCTAATGTGAAGTAATCTCGAATAAGACCAATCAATACACCACGTTGTACAATAATCCGTCATTTAATAGGAATTATTTTAATAACGTTTGATTTATGGGACTGCTCAAATCCTATCTCGTTCGCTCATGTAATATGGCCGCTAAAATTAGTCTCTTGACTTTCATGCACTTTTGTTTGTTGTTAGATGGATAAAGCCTATCATAGACACGAAAACAATATATTAATCACCAAAATGGTATAATTTCCCTGTAGGTTAAAAAAAAGTTCTTCCATTGAGTACCAGGGAGCAGGAAACCAAGGTCCTGAATCCTCTAACTTTCTATAAATATTCAACACCAAACTAATGTTGTCTAACCATGGTTTATAGCATACATTAAACTTTAGTTTCACGAATAATATCGCGTATACCTTCGCTACTTTAAAAAAATTCAATTATTCTGAGATTTTCATCTTGAGTAGTGCTACTTTTCCCGCTATAGGACGAATTATCTGTCCATTGCTTCTTGATTTTCTGTGGTACTCAAACTGAGATTAATCTTTAACAAATACAACCTGCGAATTAAGCCATTCTCCACAAAATCTTTGTACCCAATCTATTGCTCACTTCATTTGTTTTGTAGAGTTTCTTTTAAACATATTTTTTTTTAAACATATGCATAGATATAAATCATCAATGCTTCATCTTTCAATTAATGTAGGAGTTTTAGTTCTCCACCAATCTTTTAACATAAAAATGAATTAAGATCAGTATTGTAACCTGTTTTTTTTTCTATAATTTGTTGATTTTATGTCTTCATGCTTTATTGTTTTAACTAATTTTCATTCAATAATTTCCACCATTTTCCTGCATTTGTTTGCTTGTTTAATTTTTTTTGTTTTAAACCTATAGATCAGTTTATTTTTACTGAACACGCTAGATGACAACTTTTCAGATTTATTTTTCTTTTAAGGAAAAACAAAATCGGATAAAGTTGCCATCATTCTCATTTAGTAAGGTGCGGAGAAAATGGTCTAAACCCCCCCCGAATGCCCTGGTACGGCCGAGGGTGGGGAGAGTCCGCTCTCCCTCTCGAAATGCTCTCACATGGCCACTCGTGTACAGCCACCGCCAGGGAAGTCCTCCTCACTGCCTTCTCTTGGCGTGGGTGTTGTTTACGAAATTGAGAGGACGAAAAGCGAATGTCTAGCGCCTTAACCGGGTTGGTGGACACGGAAAGTCCACCTAGAGGAGTTGGAAAACCCTGATTCCAAACCAATGGTGCACATGGGCTCCAGTATCCTGAAGGAACAAATGGTGTATGAATCAATCGTTTGTCAACGGCTACCATAGGACTGTATCTCCTCACGATGCTCCACTGCCTTGTGGATCAGACCTTTAGGTCGAAGGCTCCGAGTGTGGCTCCCTAAGAAAACCACCTGCTTCAGTTTGGGCACCTGGGAAGTATCATAGCCCACACTCAAATCAAGTGACTTGTGTGGTGCATATTTATTCGGTTCCCCTTTGTACCAATATTCATGTGTTCAAATAAATAAATAAGATTGCCTATATTTCTCTCTTCATATGATGAATATTGAAGTTGATTTTGTTGAGAATTAAATGAATCTCTAATTTTATTATTATTTATTTGATGTTGCAATATATGTTCACGTGAATGGTCGAGTATGTAGTGGCTGGTACTATGCCAAGCCCACATCGGTTGTTCTAGCTTCTGGATAGACCAATTTATTCACTCTTCTCAAGCCACATTTTGACCATTTTGATTATTCACTTATTAATCCTGACTGTTTTTATATGATCGTGTGTGTGTTAATTGCTCATCCTATTCATTATGTGTCTGCAACTTATTTTTGGTCTGACTAAGAATATTAAATAACGTTTGGTCAAAAATAACTAACTCACTCGCCTTCTCTTCATCGCTTCGTTTCTTTATTTGTCCGACTGTATCAACGAATGTATGAAATATACCTATCGGAAATTCATTCTCATATTTGGCTTATTTTATTCCGTTTATTGTCTAAGTCGATAATTGTAAACGAAGGTTGCCGGCCTGTATATTTCGATAACAATGATCACACAATCTAATAGGAATCAGAAATAGAGCCATTCTTTTTGCCTATCTCTAATTTATTTATTACCTATTTCTCTTATTCCTTCATGTTTCTTCCCTTTTGTGTTATGATTTATATGAATTGATAATATATGTTATAGCAATTCTATTCTGTTACATATTGATTTGTTAAGGTTTTGTTTCGTTTTTTAATAAAAAAAAATTACAATACAACCTTAGATTTTACGTATACTATATATAATTAATCATAGATACTATATATGCCTATTGTGAAGAGGTGTTCTAGTGTGTGTGTGTGTGTTTATCTAGTAGTGCTAGTTGTGTGTGTATATGTGTATTTAGTTAGTTGATTCACTTATTCATTCATTAATTTTTGTTGATTTGGGATTAGATCGAATTGATTGCGTTATTATATACACCTAGTCGTTTTGGTAATTGAAAATTTGGTTTGTGTATGTATGTGCATATATGTTTGTATGTATGTATGCGTGTAGTAACCTAATAAAACCGCTTTGTTTTATTGTATTACTCTTGAAATGAATAACAACTTATAATTGATCTTTCATTTCTACTGATTTAGTAGTTTTCTTCTTCATAATTTTATTTGGTAAGTCTGTTTCTAGTTATTTTTCGGGTAATTTACTTTGAAATTGTGAATTACAAACAAAGGAATTACTGTGTAGTATTCTGATCGGGGACCCATTAGTAGTGTATACAATACAAACCCATACTAAACTTAATATGAGATCGGTCTGTAGGAAGTGCTGCTGAACTATTTCAAACCAAGACTAAACAACCATACATATGTTGTTATAACTTTTTTTCTTTTCACTGGTGCTTCTTCTGTTGATATCATTTTGTAGCGAATACTTTTTTGGTATGTTGCTAACAGTATCAATCTTAAGCATACTAAGGGAGATTCTCATTTATCTGGTTTCACTAAGGAAATGAGATATTCGAATTCATTGCATATACTGTGTCTAAACTTTAGTGTACGAGATGCGGTTTATTATTTAGCGTATAAATAGTGTAATTGGTTTTAAAAACTAAATCATAGCGAATATTTGGTTATGATTAATAAGATTTGCCATATATTTCTCATCTATATATCAGCTGGAGAAAATATTCGTTAATTTGCTTTAGTATAGGGGGATTTAGAGATTGTTAAATTTTAAAGTCTGGAACATAAACTGACTTCAGTCAAACCACCATTAAAAACCAGAAAGCGCTACAGAACTGTTTCGTCCTAGTATAAAAATTAATCACCAATGTACATCCACGACCCTACTAGTTGTCTGCAGGTAAGGCTCTCACTGCGAGTCCTTAAGCTACTGGATTCGATCTCTGGTGGGGTTGTGCGTGTACACTGGTTGTAAGTTTTGAACTATGGTGAAAGAGCTAATAAATAGACCCTGGCTTCCAGTGGTTTTCCGACGAATGTCAGTTTGTGATGCAAAACTACAATTATCGATAGTTTTTTTGAAATTTTTCAATGTAGTATCGTCAGTATGTAACTTTGAATCTCTTATTAAATAATTGTAGGTATTAGCCTTATATATGTTTGTTCATTTTTGATGACATTGTAGTTATCATATTCCTTCTTATGAGGTAGTTATTGTTTTGCATCCGTTGTTAATCAATTGAATCATTTGCAATAAGGTTTCGGGTTTGTTTATTCTCATAGTTGTGATGTATCTCAAATTGTCTTGTCGTTTGAATTCGAATGCCTCACCAATTCATAATTGATGTAACTCAATAATTTTACGCTCTGTTTAGCAAATTTAGCCATAATCACTAACCCTTCTTATTTATGAATAAGCTAATCCAACTCAGTAATCAAACATACAGGATTTAAGCCACATTATTCTGCGTTAGAACTATGTTTACTGCTTGAGTGGATGTAAAACAACGGTTCGATTTTCAAATTACGCTAAATTCCTTAACAGTCAATTACATTTAAATCTAATCCCTGATGATCGTTTCAATGCCAAAAGTAAATATTGTCTTACCTAATTAATATTTGCTTAGTAGTGAACATTTGATAATTGTTTGGTGTATCAGCCTTATAAAATTGCAATTCTGATTTGTATTTTCTGTAAATTCTATAAGGATATGTAGTGCGGTTAAACTATTTTCAACCTGATCAATACAATATTGAATTACCGGTTATCATGAACCTTAATTAATTCATTAACACTGAATTATTTTTATGTGTTTGTGTGTGTGTGATAGTGATTTTAGTGTTAAGATCTATGGCAAAATAATATTTTACAATGCGTTTGTTTGTATCCGACCTGCTTTTTAATGGAAATTTTTTTTTGCTAGCTAATTTACTCGTCTGTTATTTGTATTTCATTGATACTACTATTGTTGTCTGTCTAATATTTTGTTTTTTAATCTAATATAGGTGTTTATTTGCTTCATTTTTTGTTTGCAATCCTAGGGTTATCGAGAACAGAATTCAATTAATCATATCATGGGGAATTTAATTGAACATTCGGATAGTTTATTTCGTATGATTGCACCAAGCTGTGAAAATGTAACAACTTTAAATGATAATTTATCAGACAATAATTGTGCACGAATTCATCATATCCCATTTAATGATACATCTGTTCAAGCTGTTCGAAGTAAAAAGTATGAGAGTATATTTGATGACATAACATGTTCATCTATATGTAATAAGATATGCATGTTGTATTATATGTATATTAGTGGGTATGTTTGTATGCTCACAGTTGATATCTTTATATAATCAGAGTTTAGAAGACATAAATATTTGTGCTTAATTTTATCCGTATATCAAAAGTTTACTTTGATCAAAGTTATGTGGAGCAACGAAGATAAACATAGTTAAGGTTTTGTATTAATTATTATCACTATGCACAAGTTGAGCAAACAAACTTTTCCTTTTCAATTAGCTCCTCATCACAGCTCTACACTAGTATGTAGGTTTTATAATAAATTAATACCAAATAAATGGTAGTAGATCAATTTAACCATATTTCTTAAAAGTTAGTAAGCCATTCATCATCCAATGAATGTGAAGTAGAAACCAAAATAAAATTGTATAATCTATTGTAATTATAATAATAATTATAATCTATTGTTGATTACGCAGCAATAAGAATATGGATGAAATCATATTTTTTAAATTTATATATATATATATATATATATATATATATATATATATATATATATAGGATATTTCCACTAATATTTACGACAGGAATTGATCAGTCTCTTTCTTGGCATATGTTCTTGTGTATAAGTGGATACCATAGTCTCGTTTGAAGCGAAAAGTGCCGGGTTCAAGTCACGGAGTGAACATCATTTCTGTATGCAGGTATATCCAGCTGACGAGTCCCAAACAGATTCAGTAAGATTCTGTGTTTAACTTTGAAATCTAGCGTTATGCGGATTTGGTGGCTAGTATTGTATAAATGAGACAGAATAGAGCTTATTGTTTTTTTTGTTCGTTCATCATACCTGTTGGTTGACGCTCTTTTCCTATCAGCATTACATATTCAATTGTATTGTGGTGTGGGTTACTTATGTCCACATAAGTAGTATATGGTGATGGTCAGGCATAGAATGTATTTCAACAGAAGATCGATAGGGAAGGAACAGGAACAGAACTCAAGTAGTATGAAAATACATGAACAATGAAATCAGAGACGATGGACTGATATTTGCAGAAGGAATAGTCAAGATTGAGACAATCGATTGATAGTTTACAAATTAACTATTTACTGTATGGTTGTCAGATTTTACTGAGATATTCTGTAATTTTCGTATCAAATGTATTCGATTGTCCTCACTCGCCTTCTTGTTCACTATAGTATTACTACACCGATTACTCGATTTACTTATTAAATATGTAAAGTCAAATGACTGATTTCAAACTCACTTTTTCACTCCTTAATTTCTATTTATATTCTTGCCTAATATTTATGATAATAAAAAATTGAAAAAACTTTAATCTTTCATTCGTCGACGTATTATCCGAATAATATCTTTAGAGAAAATATTGAGATACATTATTAAATTGATCTACTATCATTTATTTGGTACTAATTTTATACTCAGTCGTAAAACTCATATTCAAGGATGTTGAATCATGACGACGAGATAAGTGAAAAGAAATATTCCATCGTTTTACTTATATTTTTTAATAAGCATTTGAACAGATTAACATAAGTCCATTTTCTTTCATTGGTGTCATTATTAGCTCCTTATGACTTGTAGTCTATCAACTATCCTGATTCATAGCAATGAATTCATTCATCAGTTACAGTAGACAACTGTTTGAAGAATGTGATAAATGTATTGTAGATGTATGCAAAATTCTGACAATTTATAACTATTCATAAAACAATTGACTGGAACTAAATTTTATACCATCGGACCATTTATTAACCAACCACTTTCCTCACAATTTGAGGAATACTATTTTAAAACAGTATCCATTTAAAAGAGATCAGAAATGCTTACTACCAAAAAAGTTTTAAAGTAAAATGGTTTGTTTTTCATTCAATTGAGATTTAGTTTTCATTGATTTATTGTACTAACACAAACGTTCCACGAGAATTGCTTATCCATAGTCTATTATTCATAGAGTATAAATACTATATTTATTGCAATAGTGTTATTTTTATATTTTCAGAATAGGGGTTTGTGGAGATTATAGTAATTTGATTGCTAAATTCCTGTATCGATTTAAGCTAGACCACTATTGGATCGGTTGAAGTTAGACGCTAACACAGTTAGATGCTGACTCAATGGTCTAGAGGTTAAGCGTTCGCGCGCCATATCGAAGGTCCTGGGTTTAGGTCATGTATGTAGAATCGTGTATGCGCACTGCTAAGCAGTCCCATACTAGGACGAAACGGTTGTCCAGTTCTTCCAGGTTTTCAATAATGGTCTAGCTTAAATCGACCAATGAATTCAACCATTAAATTTTCTTATCTGTTTAGGAGAATTTGTAAGGAACTGGCAAAACTGAACTTATTCTTTTAATAATCAGTCTAAATATCCTATTCATTAGTTGTTTTTCTAAAACACTTTTATTTATGATATTTCTTTATTGTCTCATTTAGATACTTCCATTTCACTTATTAAAATTAGATAAAATTGATAGAATCCACATTTTTATATGGTGAATAGATGATTAATCAACCTCTTTAAATGTCGATAGTGTAATAAGACGACAAAGATTATCAGAACTGTGTAATGATATTGTTATAAACGTATGTATGCCGTCGCCAATTGTTATATACGTAGAGAGAGAGAGAGAGAGGATGCTGGTTATAACCTTAGGGGTTTCTGGTTATAACAGTCCTTTTACTTCTTCACGTATGTGGGACGTTAATTTATCTTAGACGAATATCTACACTAGATTCCCACCCAGTGTCTATTCTACAGGACTTCAACAGAACTCAGATCAAGAACACCAGATTAGCCTGACTATGACGTCAATATATTTCCACACGAAAATCTGACACAAAGAACAGTTAATCAATAAGTGTCCATCAACAAGGAACAGTCAATAAGTCAATACATAATAAGGATAGGGAAATATATATATAACACACAACACCTGTCATCCCCTCTAATGTCTGACTCATCGAGACAACCAATCATTGACATTCTCGCCCACACATCAGATATATTATCGCAATACGTTTCGAACAATCTGATCACACATATACTTGTTAAGAACATTTATATATCACTTTAGTTCTGATTATGAATGCAGTGATCCTGAGTGATGTTAGAGATATGAGGGCAGTTATCACTTTCCGGTTGCCCACACCGTAGAAGGGTTCTTCTAGAGGTACCTGAAGAGGAAATCGGGTTATAGTTGGTGTTAGTGACCTGATAGCGTGACCGTATTGCCTAAGCGACAACTGCTTGAGTCCGGTCACGCACGACCATTTTTTCAGTAATTTTCGTATTCATTCCGTACTTGTTGAGACCTTGCCGCCGGAGACCGATATCCGTGGAATAAGGCAAAGTGTGCTTTTTTAGTATCAACTTTTTCTAACCCCACCCCTCCTTGTGGGAAGGCAGCATCGCTGTCATGCTGATTGTCTGAAGGAAACACCTTACTGCTGTCACACCTCTGTACAGTCAGCAGTACGACTTCGCCTTCGGACCTTGGGTTTGCTGCTTTTAGTCTTACCGCTCTTCAACTGACTTGCCTGGCATGGCAGAACCTTGAGGAACGATTGTTTCAGTCAGTATAGCTCGATTGGTTTATCACAATAAGCAAGCCCGACCACCACGTCAAGGTAGCAGCAACGGTCGAGACATAGTTCTGATAATCTTAGTCTTCTCATTACACTATCAAAATTTATCAAATGGACTAATTGCTTTAAATTTCTTAAAAGAAGACTCCCTTTAAAAATGTGTTTTAGTCTGTGTTGTTATCTTAAATTTTTAATTATGAAGTAGCAATGTTTTTGTATGTGAACGAATACATTTATGATATGATATTTTATTATTATAACGATTTGCCAAGACTGTTATTAATTTTATAATGATTGTAATGTCATAGTATTTATGTTCCAGTCCACTTGATTTCTTGGTCCTATTTTCTTTTCTCCCAAGTTTATTGTCAGCAAGTTTCCTTGTCGTATATAATTTATTTATCATGTGAGTATATGGTCCTACCACTTACTGATTTCAATAGACTCTTTAATGTTTATTTATTTAAACACATAAATATTGGTACAAGGAAGCACCAGATAAATATACGCCACACAAATCTCATTTGATTTGTGTGAGGGCTGTGATACTGCCCAGGTGCCCAGACTGAAGCAGGTGGTTTTCTCAGGGGACCACACCCGGAGCCTTTGACCTGAAGGTCTGATCCACAAGGCAGTAGAGCATCGTAAGGAGATGCGGTCCCATGGTAGCCAGTGACCAACGATTTATTCATACGCCATTTGTTCCATCAGTATACTGGAGTCAGCCCATGTGCACCATTGGTTTGGAATCAGGGTTTGCCGACTCCCCTAGGTGAACTCGTCGTGTCCACCAACCCGATTAAAACATCGGGAATTCGCTTTTCGTTCTCTCAATTTATTAAACAACAGTAATGCCACGAGAAGGCAGTGAGTAGGTCTTCCCTGGCAGAGGCTATATATTCGCGTGGCCATGTGAGCATTTCGAGAGGGAGAGAGGACTCTCTCCACTCTCGGCCTTACCAAGGCATTTGAGGGCCTCTTTAATGTACTCATACTGAATCTTTTTCAATCATAAAGATATTTCATCTAACAATAGTGCGATGTAGAATGAAAATCCATGTGAGTTTTATTCTTTTTTTATATTGAAAATATTGTTGTCTTTTGGAATTCGCCCTATTTTTTTATTATTATTGGTGATAATAACGTCGACTATTTTTGTTATTGTGTTGATTTGCCAGTTGATTTAGACGAATTAATCTCCACATTGTCATTTAAACTTTATATAGAATCTTAACTTGATTAGCTAATCAAGACCAAATTCTTTAGTTTGAATAGATTAGCTGAAGAATTGGATTACTAACTATTCGTTTGTACAAATGATCATTTTGTTAGTGAATTTTTTTTATTGTTGTTTGAAAATGGGAACAATTGTCAGCCTCTCTC